TTGTACTATTTCCCACGTTGAGTCAACCCACTCAAAATACATCAACAATAAAATCAAATTGATGTCATTGGCGAGGGCGCACAAAAAAAGCACACCAAAAAGCGTGGATATTGGAAAAGCCATAAAACATTATCAGCAATTCTTTTCATATAAATAACATGTTCTCTTCGACACATGAAATCAAACCTTCACCCCCCCCCCCCGCCCCTCGGCCCTTAGGAGACTTGGAAAATTCCGATTGGCTATCGATTTGCTCTCCTAATTTGATTGTGGTATCACGTAAAGAAAACAAAACGTGATTGTTGCTGCCACACAGATGAACAGTGACTCCACAGATTTGCACACCCCTTCACCCGCTCACCCCCCACGAATATCCATCATGCCGGCGCGCGGTACCTTTGGCCCACCCAACCCATCCACTCACAGTGGCGCGGGATAATCGAAGCGATTTTGCAGAATCCGCCCCCAAATCGAGCTCAATGGGGGATTACGCGTATGTGGCTTGTAGTAATTTTTCCCTTCACCGCATTTATAAATAACTCACTTAAAAATTCATACTGAATTGGTTTATCTTCACCACCCACCGGTTCATTGATAAAGTTCAATGGGGCGGAAGAACTCTTGTTATCCCCGGACTGAGGCAACATGTTCCAGTGAAGAGCCTCCTCGTTGTCTCATCTAATTTTAGAGTCGGCAGAGAGAAAAGGGAACTTATATGCCCACTTGTGCGTCCCACATTGACCCCATCTGCCACCCACAGCACTCTTTCCGGCCCACCAGAGCCACCTCCGCACATTTGAGGCCGGGGGATGGGGTGGAAAATGGCCAGGGACTGTGTATAGTTAAAAAATAGTCACACCATCTGCTTCCTAATTTATAAACTCAACCAGCCACCCGCCCGGCAAAGACACAACCATTCCGCGCCGGAAAGCTCCAGCGGGCTCCCCAAATGATGCCGTGAGAGAGGCGAGGAAAAAATTGTATTTATGAAAGGAAAATCGCATTCTGCTTTAATGAGCTTTTGATTGGAATTAATGGTTCGCATCCGGTGTGAAGAAAATCATTTTTCCCCACTCACCATCTCTTTTTGATTTCTTCCAACATGTTGATGATGCTACGGTTTTTTCTTCTCCTCCTCGGCAATGGGGAGGACTTAGCGCGGAGAAAATAAAAACGTACACAATGTGGCATTTTTCTGGACGTTGAATGAGAAAAATGAGATGAAATATGGATTATGTGTAGGTGGAAGAGGTATTAAAGGGGCAGATTGGGGGTGTTTTTGTATGAAGAAGATTGCGAAGGGAGAGAGCAATGGCCATGGTAAATCGGATGACTTCACATTCACCCTGCCGACCAATTTTCAGATTCATCGAGGGATTATCTTGGGGCAGACAGAGCTTTTCTTCTTCCTCATCTTCACTGCGGAGCAGCTCAAATTGCCGTTAAGAAATGGCAAATTTGACAGAGTACAGAAATTATATTTCAGAAAACCGCATCGTTGAGGATGAAATCCAAATATGTATTAAAGTTGAATCACAGCACCTTTAACCACTTCTCTATACGTAATAAAATCAAGAAACATCCCCTTATGATTACACTTCACCTTGTTGAGCCCTCTCACCACCCGCAGTCCGGATAAAAAATGGGAAACGCACTCGTGTGAGGAGTTGAATGGGCCGAATTTCGTGTTTGCCATGGGATGACAACGGTGAAGAAGGTCTCCAAGGCTGAGGTAAAACTTTCTATTTATCCATTTTATTGTGGTGAATAGTGAAAGTCGGATAACACTATTAATTTTATGTGTGCTCATTTGGCTTGTCGCTTGAATTGGATGGGATTGATGGATCCAACGATGATGGAGTCACACAATTGGATTTGCCGCTGCGACGAGATGCCTCGAATCATAGCAATTTTCTTCGTCACCCATCTTCACCCCATTTCCACTTGGAATGTACGTGTGAGTGTGTGTGTGTGCCTGGTGAAAAGTCCCCCTCCCGCCCCGGCCCATTGTCACCCTGTCTCTCTGTGTCACACAAAGTGAGCAAATTCCACTTGGAGGAGAGTTCAGTGCGTTCACTAAACTTGACTATGTACATAAACAATGAGATTAAAATCAATGGCTCAATAGGAACTGACGCAGAGAAATCCCTTTCGGGGAGTTCCTGGCGAGGAGGGAGGAAATGACTGGAAAATACAAAGCGGATTTAAATACCAACATTTGACATAAAGCAAGAGAGATAAAATGTTGGAAGGAGAAGCGTGACGACAAAGACTGCCAAGACACTTTGAGGCTTTTCTCATGGATAAAGCTCCCTTAGTTTATATATATTGTATAACTCTGGAGCTCCTTGGAAAATGGTACCTTGAGAAACTTGAAACAAAAATTATAGTGCGCATTGACGGCAGAAGCCGAATTCCCATCCAGCAAGTTATGTGACGGAATGAGTTTTATTGTAACTCGGGAGATAAATGTAAGAGGAGAAGTCAAGCATCAAATATCTCTTATATGTGAATCACATTTGAGTTGGTAGGAAATCAACTGATGGAGAAGTCCCAGAGCATCTCCTGACACGCCCTAAATCCCGAAGTGGGATGTGTTGAAATAATATAAGAACTTCCTAATGAATATAATTCCTTGCGAAATGAGATAAGATGTCTAATTTGCTGATGTGGCGCTAAGAATTTGGCTACGCCAAGAGATGGTGAAATGGGAGCGAATCCTCGGGAATGGAGAAAAGAAAACATGTGAATTATTTATGCCCTTGTCCTCTTCCTTAGACTTAATTTAGATGAAATGTGAAAGAGTGGAGAGACAAGTGCTCAGTGGAATTCCACCTTTTTAATAAGAATCGCAACTCCCCATGAGCGACAAAGTGCAAAATTCACTGAAAGAATTTTAATTCCATTGAATTCCTTCACTTCACATTTATATTAGACGTGCACGAAATGTCTCAAGTGTTTTCTATGGCGCTCAGAATGCTTTCTATTCTCCCACCCACGCCGTGACTGCCCACCCCCTCGGGCATGGATATTTAATGACAGACTGAACTCCAATCCACTGATAAATATTTCAATACCAGATTCACAGTGACACTTTGCACAATTATGAAAGAGTGTACCTTTTGTCGGGGGCGCCACGTATTCATGAGAATTACCAATTCAATTCAATTACTCAAAATTGGGTGTCCATCTATTAAAAAGTGATTCTCTGTATAATTTACTGGTGATTAAAATTTCAATACGCGTCAGTAAATGAGCATTTGTTGTACATCCACGGCACCCAAATTACTGCAAACTTAGCCACTGCTCACGATTTTACAATGAAAATTAACAGCCCATGGAAATGTGAAATTGTTTACACAAAATGTGGAGTACTTAAAAAGAGTGGTAAATGCAGAGGTATAAAATAATGTGAGTTGCGGAAATTAAAATCAATATTAGCTAGATTTTATGGTCCATTTGGTGCACTCTTCTGCCAAGTGCTTTTGATGTACACCGAACGAAACCTGAACACTTGTGCTAAGGAATCTGATGAGTGAATGAAGACACTGAGGAGGGACTGTTTTGTATTCCGAAATTTATCACTTGAAGAATTGCTTTTTCCCGCAAATCATTCCACAATTCACCATCTTTTCCTCACATGCGGAGCCAGCTTTTCTTTCACACAAAAGCCCCACCAGAATGAGTGACTGTGTACACCTCGAACAATGGCGATGTGGGAGGAGAAAAGGCCACCCACATGACGCACAACTCATTGGCAAGAGCGAAGGCAAACAAATGATGGGGAAAAAGTTGAGTTGGTTCCTTCATGCGAAACTGAAAGGAAATTTTCATATTATAATGAGAAAATTGTTTCAGTCCATATTGAAATAAGAGCTCTTCAAGTTCCTTTCCGCCCTTCCCGTGCCACTTGTATTATTCCTCATCGTCTTTTTCTGATATGCCCTGTGCCAAGCATCTCGACACACAACAGAGAGTGAAGAAAACAAATTAGGATTAAATTTCTATTGCTTCCCAGAGCTATGGCACAACCACTGCGCGAGGAGAGCAAAAAAGGCAAGAACGCGAGAGAATGTTTCAACACGACGAGCGTTGGAAAATTCAATGAGATTGTACATGCGATGGCAAGGAAAAGAAACTCCCCAGTTATAGAGCAAAGCTTTCCAATTCTGTTGATGTGCACCCATAAAATTATGTACAATCCCGACTTGTGATGAGTGAATCGGGAGCTTTCCATCCACCTCATCGTCATCAGTATCATTATTATTTTTTGGTGCAATTTACCTAATAGACATTTCACTCTAAAATTCCATCAATGAAATTGAGGGGAAAACTGAACGGAGAGAAAAAGGTAAACTCTATTGCGATAAACACACCAAATCAGTACTTGAATTTTTGAACTGTGAATATGAGGAAAGTTCATATAACGTATTAAATTTGTGTTCAATGACAGCCAGTTTGTATTATATTGTACACCGCATAGTACAATTTCCAGTAATTTTCCCCACCTTAATCATTAATCGAATAATTAGTCGAGTCGAAAAGTCTGAGAGTTCATGGAAAACAAAATCTCAGGATCAAATCTCACTCAAGAGCACCATTGCGACACAAATTTCATAAATAGGCGCCCAGAAATAAATGGGCCTAACATGAAATATAATAATAACAAGGAAAGAATTTTTTCCTAACAATGTAGTAACGTGTTGTGCAAGAAGTTCTCTCTTTTTTCTAACACCCTCACTCCTCACTTAGTGGGGGAATTCCGCACTAAGGAGGGAGAGAGAGAGTGTGAAAAAAGGGCTGAAATATCTGAAACTCACGTCTTATAAATCAATTCCTTCGCCTCTGTGTCGAGTTCATTTATCATCAAAAGTAGTTTGTTAAGGCGCAAAATTTCAAACAGAGAGCGACTGAGTGGAGAAAAAAACCATTTGTTCTGCAGCCTGATGGCGAGGGCGGGAGTCAAAGTCTAAGGGGGGTCGGAATTTCAAAACACTCACCGTGTCTCTCCTTCTCGGGGGGATGCTTCCCATGGGCCTCCTCCACGTAGGCTCCCAGCACGGCAATTTGGCAGAGGACAAAGCGCGCAATCCGTGGAAAGGTGATTTTCATTTTTAATTACAATGTGTCGTGATTTTGATTTATCAGTTGAATTCCACTCGACAGGTATTTCGGGCCTGGCAATAATATTTTATTTTATTCCTCTACAGCCCGCACATATAATGGAAAAATCACTTCCTCACACTCCCACGGATCTGAGTGGGATATTAAAATAATATGCTTCAATTGGAATAATTCCAGACACGTGATAAATTCGCGTTTAATTGATTTTTTCGTGCACAATATTGAAATTATTGATACTATTTTATGGATAACACTGGATAGTCAAATGAGCGCATTGAGCGTACTTTACGAGAGTGTACTTTTGGCTCACTACAGTCAAACGGATTATTATTATTATCAGTCGGTCAGATTAAATAGCTTTTCATTCACTTTAATTTATAGCGATTTTGTGCAACCGTTTCACCACATTTTGGTCATAATTCAATCAATTTTCCCACCATCCCGACAGATGTTAATCATGTGACTAGAATAAAAATTCATTTCAAAAATCATTTCATTTCCACCGAAAGAGATGGGGAACTGATAAGGCTCTTTCCTGCTAAGAGCAATGTCTGTGGGCATTGAGCATGTTTTGCCCTTGGCTTATGCTAATCTGCACGATGTTTTTTCAGCTATCAGATTGCGAGTCCTTGGCAGCCTCTTTGGATTACACCTCCTCTCAGCACTTCCCACGATCCTCCGGGCCATTCTGGCACTCGGCGTGGTCGTTTGGCCAGAAGGGAGCAAAAACAATTGACGCAGCAATGTAATGAAATACATCACAATACATAAATAATGATGATTTTTATGGATGGAATTAATATTATTAATTTATCCTTGCAATTTATCTGCACATTCCGTACGCACTGCCCCGTAATCGATTTCGATGTCTCTCACTCTTGGCGCTCTGAGGCTGAAAGTTGGTGGAGAACATTTTTGATTTATGATTTCCGAACTTTGTGAATTAATCACTTTTTGATTTGGGACACGATTTCGTATAGAAAGGGCGCTTGAAAGCGAGGATGTGTGTTAGGAGGAAAAATCATACATTTACGTGCCACAGACGCATGTTTGTATTTATAACATCAAAATTATGTATTCCACACCCTCGGGGCAAGAAATACCTGAAGTGGCGAAGGCAATTTGCTCCTGTCCACTCACGGAGTGGCTGGCGGAGCGACACCTTTTGATGTGACTATAATTTGTGTGTATTATGGCAAACCCCCTGCCCTCCGTGGACGGTCCCGGCAATATTTGGCCAAATGTTTACAATTTGAGGGAATTTTGCGTGTGACGGGTGAGAAGGTTCAAGTGGGGTAGACCAACTTTCCAATAATGTCGAAAATGTCCCTTTTCACCAGCGTCGTCATGCTCGATAAAAATCCCTGACGTTAGGTGGAAAATTACACCCACTTCTCTCCCTCTCTCTCTCTCTCTCATTCGGGCGCTCATGAATGAGCCCAATGAGCGAGATTGAAGAGAAATCAGCACAGGAACCGAGCGGGTGGGGGTGGTGGCATGAAGAGTGAAGAAAATTTCGAAGGGTGTTCAACTTTTCACATACGTGACGCACTTTAACTCAATTTCATCCTCAAATCCAAGAAATTTCCCAAACCCAACCGCACTCCTCATTATAAATGACGAGCTTTCGCCATGTGAAGCTCGGAATTTCGAATTACTTAATACGTGCCCCGCTATCGACTGAACGTATAATATTTTCAATTGAGAATTCATGACTCGAGTTACACGCGGTGAAATGATTCATTTCATCAGCTGGGCGAGCAGTTAAAGTCTCCGGGATGTGAGCAGGACTTTCCATTTATCTATGGGGTGAAATCCTTCGGAAAATGTCTCTCAAGATAAACTTACTCAAATTAAAGCTCTAGTGGATGATTTAGTTCCTTGAATTTTGGCCCTAACACAATACCTCTGCACAAATACGGGACTCAAGCTGGAGGCTTCAGTTGGCCAAAGTTGTGCCCCCACGAAAGTCCAACAACTAAGCCAAATAGAGCGGCTCGGTGCAAATCTCTAATGGTGATGTCGTTAGACTTGGGAGACCCTTAAAGAGTAAATCTAGTCTGCTGGGGTATAATTTATTGAGAACAATTTCAGTGACTAAGGAAAATAAAAATGTAAGAGGCGGAAATTGTTTGAAAAATCAAAAGTCAAATATCGATCAATCGCGCTGGATGTCTGCCTGGTTGAGTAGAAAATCTTGTAATCATTTACCAAAAGTGGAAAACCAAGATATCAGCAGTATTTCAATCAAACCTCACATCCCTCAATTCAGTCGATCCCACATTACCCTGGCCATGATATAGATGTTTCCCGAAATCATTAATCAGGCCACTTTTTCAACCTTGCTCTGCGCACTTGAAGAGTGTACAAACAGAATTCGGCCACGGTCCCCGATTTTTTGCCGCTGGTCCCTCGCCAGGCTCTTGCCCTGCCCCATTTGTATGACCGTGTTGTTTGTCGGACGGTATATCATCTTGGATTGGTCCCGGATTCCCTGTACTCAGGCGCGGATGGGGGATTGCAAGGGGGCAAAAGTTGCCCAATATTCATGTGAGTTTCTTCTTTTATATCGGCACACGCACATCACCATAAAATGGGGGAGTCAATAAGGGGGTGGCGGCATCAAATGGGGTGACTGGGAATTCTGGTGGGATGACAGTGATAAGAAGTTCATACAGTTATAGGTGCAAGGCGGAAAAAAGAGGGATGAACATGGAAGAGGATCCAATGTTGAATGGGAAAACTTTTCTCTCTCACTCGTCTTTTTCACTTCTTCACCCACACATCGCTCGGCGGTCCTCATGCTGAGTGTTTCCCCTCCCCAGAGGCATTCCTCGTGCGTGGCGGAGTATTTTGAAAAAAAAGGAGCAACGGAAGAAGAAAGTTTAAATCACAACTAGAAAGGCAGTTTCGGATTGTGACTCATGGAATGGACGCAAAGAATACAATTTCTTGCGTCCTTTCAAAGCTCTATTCGCTCCTCAAAGAATCTTCTCTTGCTTCCACTATAAGGTATTCATTTGAGGAAATTGGAGCATCAACTCATGTTACAATATTTCATTTCGACAGGATGACAATCTGAAACCGATGAGAAAAGAGCCTGAAATGTTCCGTTTCATCACACATCTTCCCTTAGCAAACGCAACACGCAAAAAGGGTGGGCGAGGGTTGAAAGAAGAGTCTCTAGAATGCATGGAAAATTTACGTATGTATGAGGAGAAAAGATGGGAAATGCCAGGAATCTGCGCTAGAGACAATACAGCATGACAGATATGTTGCGGAAGTTCCCAATTTCAATAAATTGCTTGATTTTGAGACGATCAAAAATATATAAAGCAGTAGAGTCGTTTCTCCCAGTTTTCTTCTCTACATTATCTTCTCGTTTCCTCATCTCCCACCCTGCCATACTGTCTTTCACTCTTGTCTCTCAATTCCGCACCAGAGAATTCTCTGATTTTTCCGGATTGATTGGAGAAATATTCATGCAGAATAATGAGATCATGTATTTCAAGGAGGTATTATTAATATTTTACACCAATTAGTCCTCGCCGATTCCCTTTTCACTCTACTCTCTGTTAATACACGGAATTATGTCTGGGTATTTTGTGATAAACGGAAAAAAATCTTACCAAGAAGAAGAGATTTCCCTTCTGAAGTGTACAACTTTGGCAGAAAATCAAATTGGAATACCCAATGAAAGACTTACTTCGCAATCATAATTGAAGTAATTCCATGCTTTGATGCAAGATTATTAACTACTCTTCTAATAGCTTAACATTACTGATGGATCTTCAATTTACTAACAGCGGCGGTGTACGATTTTCCACGATATCCGTTGCCCCTTAGCTCTCCGGCTTCAGTGCTTGTCGAGGGAAAAAATCCCCTCGCCGTGGTCGATGAGGAAAATGGTATATTATATATGAGGAAGGAAGATAAAGAGAAGCTATCGATATGTCCGGTTGGAGAATATCAGACATCCAGCACATTTATCACGTGTGTAGCATATTGTTCAGCTCTTGAGCGATTTTTAACACGGTTGATTTATTCCGAATAAATATTTCAGTGGGAATTATTAAATTTTGCGCTCTCTCTCGCCCTCGTTCGACGTAATTTCGATTAAATTTCGCCTCAGCTCTTTTATCGAATTTTCCAATCACTGACGTCACCCCCGCAATCCGGTGAATTTTCCCCCCAACCGCTGCGGAGCGACGGGTGGCAATCGGCTACAGTCCATATGTGTTACATAAATTTATAATTATGTTGATGAAGTTCATTTATCCCGATCTGAACACATATTAAAATTTATTGTATTATTCAGCACTGGAACACTCTCTGCAGCACACAAACGCGCTCCGTGGGGGCCACTGGGGGGACACGCGGAGGCAATGGTAATTGTTGGGTGTTGTGCAACAACAATTGCATGCGGGAAGGATAAAAAGAGGCTGCTGGAGGATTAAATTGACGGCCCGCATGAATACATTGCGAGTTGCAATAAAGCAGAGAAGCCACAAATTCCATCAAGGCGCCCACTTTTTGCCACACTTGTGACAATTGCTCTAGCAGGAAAAGCAAGAAGAAGTGGCGAAACTCTGACTCACAAACACTGGGTGGATGGTGGAAATTAAGTGGGCAGTCTTTGACATAAATTTCCCACAAAAAGCAACTTCACTTTCCACAGGACGAGAGAAAATTGTATTATGCTTCTTTCACATGGCGTTTTTTTTTGTCGGACGAACAAATTCGCAGGAGGGACACTGCCTCAGTCGACCCGTAAATACATCACACAGTCTCTGTGGCGGGGAAAAAGTATGAATTCGGAGAGCAATTACCACAATTTTCCGCTATGGTGAAAAGCCTTACTTTCTCAATGCCACTCGTGGTGAGAGACTTTTTGG